TTGGTGGCTTTGACTGTACAATGACGAGATCTTGTTTTAGCCCTCAAATAGGAAGAGACCAGCACCTGAAGATCAATGAAATTTGATAATCGTATGGAAGAGTGCTATGAGTTTTCAACAAAGCTTTTCAAACTCGCCTCGCCAACCATTTGCTCATTTTTCATTTGCTCATCAGTCGACTGGCCTAGCTAACCCGGAGAAGACGGATCACCGCTTTCTTGCTCATGGATCAAGCGAAAAGTCCATTTCAGATAGTTTTTAAGTGGCGTTTACGAGAGCTTGCAATAAGCAGGAGAGAATTCTTTGCAGGAAGCTCGAAATGTCGAAGATATTTTCTCTTTGACGTGCAAAGTTTATAGAACTCTTGAAGCCCGATACATTATACATTTATCTATAGAGCGAGAACTTTATCAAGATAAAATGAAAGACTTTAAAGAATGGGATATTTGGGTTTGTTTGCATATATGATAAGTGGTTTCGTCCATCGTTATCCATTCTTGACAATCTTAGTGACCATTTGGGCCTATTTGTAAATTTGTCTTGTTTATTATTATTTGGTAATATTCATAGCATGAATCTCACTAAGTCTTGCAACACTCAGTAAGCTTATGTCCTGCTGTAACAAGCTAAAGAAATTTATTAAGGTCCTCTATTTGACAAGAAATTGAAACCATTCTTTTAGAATTCATAATGACAATTCCTGGTTTGGTTTACAGATTCATTTTTTTTACTTGCCTTGGAATCATGATACATCTTGTTAAAGTAAATCTTGCAATTGTGAATCTTATCAAAAAGCGAAAATGGGCGTCGCCCAATATTGGACAAAAGTGAAGGGCGTTGCCAGGAAAAAATATGGGACCACGCCTATATAGGAACCCACTCAAATTTTTGTCTAGATCTGCCACTGGTATGGACTGGCTGGCTTGGACTCTTTTGCACTAATTAAAAAGAATTTGCACAGTTTGTAATAGGATTTCAACCCATAGAGTAACTCTAAATGACTCCTAATGTGCTCGACTGCCTCCGATCAATGTAAATAATTAAAGCACTTCCAGCGTATTGTTTTACATGACAAACTTTATATTCATAGCCACTAGGTTGGAAGAGGTGGAGAGACTTTTTGCCTAGTTTGCATTTTTCTCTTCGATTTTTACGAATTTTGCTTTCCTATTATTTTGAACAATCTTCTTGAGAATTAACCACAAAGGCAATGGAAAGATAGAACCAGGACCGACTATGCACCACCATTTTAATTTGTAGAAGAGATAACATATTAGCGTTTAAAACAATTACAGGAATGAAAAAGCACCAAAGAGTTGAAAGATTAGAAAAAGCACATTCAATTCCAAAAATAAAACAATTGCTTTAGTTATCTAGCAATAGTCAGGGACGACTGCACAAGATTGAGGCAGGAGGGGCAGTGTTGGTGCTGAGGGCAAATTGACATAAGAACACAATAAAATATAACAATAATAATAACATAATAAAATATTAATATATACCACCCATAAAGCTGGGTTTTTTACCATCAAAGATTCTGAACATAGAGAAAAAGTTGATGAAATTAAATGGGTATCAAATGGCCTTGTCATTTTTCACAATGTCTGGTTTTATAAAATCATGGCTGTTACAAATGGGCTGATTGTAAAATTTTGATATTGCCCATTTTAATACCGATTTATCCTTTTCAGGCTCCTGAAGTACTTCTAAGGGAACAAGACTCTTCTTTATCTACTTTTATCTTTGCCGCTCGTCTTCTGTGGCCCTCCTTGTCACAGACAAACATTTCAACCTTCGCTTTTTTGTGCTGGTGTTATCATCTTTGTAAAATTTTCGAATGGAAATTAACATAACAAGAGTGGTAAAAGTGGACATCAATTATCAATAAGATTCTATAATCTTTTCTTGGAAGTCGTATATCTCAGGGCACCTCTTGCCCCCTCTGCCCTTTATCAAAGGGGGCAGGAGGGACAGCTGCCCCTCCAGCCCCCGGTGTAGGCGCCCCTGCCAACAGTTGGCTACGGTAAAGACTTTATGCTCGGTGTATTTGTTTGCGCTTCCATCACACACAGATCAATAATCTTTGCAGACCCATACATAAATGGGCAAGGAGCTATAAATCAGATTAATTAAACCAGCGAAGAAATTTTATACCAGAATTAATTACGCTTAAAAAATATGAAAACGCCAGAAGGCAGTGTCTTACTTGTAGAAGACATATTTGTAGGAAGATAAAAGGCGATGATTCAATACAGAAAGAACAAGGAAGATCGAGAGTTGCAAAATGAGTGGAAGTGGTGCGCAGGTTGGTGTCTTACAAAGGATGTTACTCAAAGTCATTATGGTATATTCAAAAAATAAAAAGTTGTTTGCCGCAAATACCTATTTCAGAAAACCTTTCTCCGGTAAGTGAATATGTAGTAAAAGTGTTTCGCTTTGATGTAGCGTAATACCTAAAGTGTACAACTTAAGAAGAAAGGAAGGGACCAATCGATGAGACAACAGCTATCCAACAATATTTCATAATTTATAAAGAACGAAGTCAACGCAAGTGAAGCTGGTCGAGCAACTAGGCAGATAAGCAACAATAAAAAACGCCGAGAGTGACGTACACAAACGTTGAGAAGGCTGTACAAGCAATTTGGCCTAAGCAGCTTCTTGCATGCACAAATGTGATTGGCAGCCAAACTAACTGAAAAAAGTGGAATGATCTTGCACGAAAATCTATTGGTTATGTGAATCAACATCTGTAAATATTCAACTGTGCTGAAAATTAACCCACTGTAAACAAAGGGCCTCTGTTTGTTAAAATAATTTTCTTGTTAGAAAATATCATGTAACAGCCGTTAGTATTTTCTTTTTTCATCTTGTTACTTTATCAGGAATTCAATAATCTATAAGACAAATACAAAGCAAGCCGACGGTTTCGCCATGTGCCAATTATCAATGCAAGATTATATGCTTACAATCAGTTACACATTAAATTATGTTTTGTTTTATGTAGACGAGTTGGTTATCAGTTCTGTTAGTTATTCAATTCAATTGAATACGAATATAGCTTAGGCCTGTCTTCTTAACGACTTGTCGCGACGCTTGTCCCGTCTTTTATCCATTTTGACGCGAAAGCTGTTAGAAATCACATGGAGATCGGTAGATAAAGACAAATTTAACTTCAGAAGGCACTGTTTTGGAACCAGTTATGATATTCGATTACGTGGCCGTCTGGCGGTTACCGATAAGAGCTGTCTACGCTGAATTTTTAATAGATATCTAATCGTGTGCGTAAAAACTTAATCAAAATGATATGTTTGAGGAAATTTCTTAATTCCAAATGAAGAGCTTAACATATACACTCGTGCACGTGGTCTCTATCAAAGTTATCAGTCTTCCTTAGAAAATCCTGGCTACTCTTATACAAAACATCTTTTACAACAACGATCACGAAAATGATACAAATTCTGCGCAAAAAAGAACATAGTTTATTTACACAACTTATCAGGTTTCTTTATGTTAACTTTTATTGCTCTGCCAGTACAAAGAATTGCGTCTGGCAAGGACACGGTTGAAAAATATAAAGCAGTGGCGTATCTAGGGCTGCAGCAGAGGAAGGGGGGGGGGGGTCTGGGGCGGAGACCCCAGAAATTGTTTTGGACCACGCCCTTCAGACACTCGCAAATGCGGGAAAACGCCCTTTTTGCAAAATTTTCCCCCATTATTTGATTCACGTTAGCTACGGTAAATAGCAAAGTATTTTACAATTGTTATTGACACAAGCATACAGTATACTACACCCCCCCTCCCAATGAGTTTTACATCGTTTTTGGACAAATCTAGAGGATCATATTTTAGAAAAGTGGAGGGGGGGTCCGGACCCCCAGTCCCCCTCGGGTACGCCACTTATATAAAGGAAATGTTGAATGGCAACAAGCTGAAGCCCCCGTACTCTGCTGTGATAAACAAATTAAGCTGATTTTGGCTATTGCAATACAGGGCTTCACGACGTATTGGGGGCGGGGCTGTGGGGGCCGGTGCCCCAAAAAATGTTCAAAGATTTGGTCTTGCGAGCCACTATTGGTAAAGTGTAAAACTGGCTACATCATTTATATGATCCAAGCAGCCTAATTTACACATGCTCGACGCACAAAGTCTCAGCAGCAGAAAATGTTCAATTGTTTTTGGCTGAATACCATAATTGAAATTATTGTATCATCATGGAAAGTGTCCTAAGTAGCCATTTTTCTAGAGTCCTCAGTTTTGGAGATACTGAAAATTTCTGACAATATTCTAAAAGCTTGTGACATTTTGTTGGCTTGTGACATTTTTCCGATGAAACATTTTGCACACAAAATAGACAAATCTTAGAGGTTTTATGCACCCGACTGCGCTCTTAGGAAACTCCAGTGCAAAGATTCATTCGTTTTACACACCGGTCATGACACGATCGAGGGGCAAAATCACTCTATGAAACTCTCGTAAACCTTTTATGAAATCATATTGTTTTACCTGAACATTCCTGGAAATACCTTCTGCTTTGGTAAAAATCTCGTATACTATTTGCAAGAGTGAGCTATTTGCCTCTCGGAGCACGATAATCCAAATATACACTACAAGTTCCTTCTTCAGAGCTCCATACTCTCCCTTCCGCTTTTATCCTGCTATTACACGCTTTCATTCTTGTCTAGCTCATGCTTTTTCCTTCCTCTCCTTCCTCTCTCACCCTTTCCTTTTCTACTTCTGCTACATACTTCCCTTTCTCTTTCCTTTTAATTTCTTTTCTTTTTATCAACAGATGTTAAGTTTTTCTATAAAGTCTTGATCATTCTGAAAATGATCAAAACCTAGGGATCAATTTTCTTTGACAGGCGTCCCTCCCCCACCCCATTCTTAAGATCATATGACACGTCACTGATTAGCTTTAGCTCAATTTATATGCAATTTGAACCGAACTTTAATCATATCTAACACCTAGGAGATCAAATAAACGATTTAGTGACAACTGGTCAACAATCAATTCGCGGTATCAAATTTATATAATTCGAACAAAATATCAAAAATATCATCAACTGTAAAAAAACGAGTGCGTGAATTCATATGGAAAGGAACAAAAAAATAAAACAGACTTGAACGATGAAACAGGTAAAATGGCTTCAAAATTCCAATTCGGATTCTTCTGAATCCCATCCTGATTCCAGTTTATTCCCGTTACCCGCTTCAAAATCCACGTCAATTTCATACTTCCATTCTGGGTCACCGGGTTTCACTCTGTTTTGCTCGAAAGATTCGGACATTTTGTCTTTTACTTTGTTCAGCTCCTCGTCATCCAGTTTATTGAAATCTTCGTCACTGTTTGAAGGAGAAACAAGGTTTGTCGCCTTTCCATAGCTGTAGATCTTCTCATGAAGCTTTTTGAGTAGCCGTTTTAGCTGGAAGAAGATGGGGTATAACATAAGCTTAAGGTGCTCTTCACCAACTATTTATTACGAGCAAGGCATTATTTTCCCCGTGACCGTGTGACCATTGGTCACAGGAAATCAGTTAGAATTTTTTTCTCACAGGAAATTTCTCAACCATGGATAAATAATAGAAACGATTTATATGCTTTTATTTATAACAAGTTAAGCAGGTTGGAAGGAATCTAAATACTCAGAATTAATCAACTCATCACACTGAAAAAGATCAAAACTATGTTTCAGAAAGTAATACTGTGCTGAGGGTCTTAAGGGGATCAGCTTTCGCTGCAAAAAGTAACAAATTATGTCATTACTGATATGTCATTACGACCCCATACTGTTATTAGTGTTTGAGATATTTTTCAAATGCAGGCTTTAAAGAAAGAACCAACATCCCGTATCAAAGGTGTATTTTTGCAAAAATTTCCTGCTTGTAACTCACTCACAACACTACAGATAAATCTCCTTTGTACAAAGTTATAGTTTTTGGTATGAGTCTTTCATAAAATCGCTTCATTTATCAAGACGCAGGAATTGCTATTTTAGTGCTCGCTCATTGATGCAAGAATGGCAATGTTCCACATTTCTTTGCCAACCCTTTGAAAGAGTTTTGACAATAGCATCCACTACAAGTGGGGCTGCTGAAAGGGGGGATGAGGGGCAAAATGTCCCAGGGGGGCTCAGGGTTGATTGCACGATGTTAGGAATGGAATTAATCAATTGTAGCAAAAGTATGCTTAAGAACGTAAGATGTTAAAAAATTTGCGAGAAATGACTGCAAGAAATATTCTGAAATGCATTCTAAGCTAATCTTAAGGGCTTGGTGACAAATATTTTCTGTTCCCTTCCGCTCACTGGGGGCCTTGACCTTTGGCTTTGTCCTAGGAATTCTGAAACCTCTTTGCAGTTCTGATTATAAATATGGCAAAACATTTCTGATAAAATAGGTACTTTTATTTTTTACTCATGTGACTCCTTTTGTCTTCAACAACATAATTTTATATTATTGAGGTTTTTGAATCACAAAATCCAAACTGATTTCACAGGAAATTTTTTTAAAAAGTTTACAATCATAAGAAGTTTTGAAAAAAAATAACACTCTGATTACGAGTATATATTCTCAAGAAACACAGTAATGCTCACACAGTGGTAATGGGCCAAAAAAGCTTTTATATTAATTACATTACCTGTTTTTCTGGTACTGTCTTGAGATATTTCTGGTGATGGGTGTTGTTCAGGTCTTTTATTATATCATCAATTCTAATTTTAAACAAAATTTAAACCTTTAGAGTTAGAGTCAACAAAAATTTAAACAAAGTTGAGTAAAGCTAAATCATAAAATTAGCATTTTATAAAAATTTGAAATCATACCAATCATAGATGAACATTGAGAAAGCTGGGATTATAAAAAAGTATTTAAGGGCTGTAACAGATTGTCATTTTTCAAAGAAAATTCAAGCATTGGCAGTGTTGCAACATAATCTGGTATTAAAATGCCAATATGGCATTCAAGATGAATTTTCAAATTTAATCCAAGATCAGAAAAACTAGCCTTGAGCCTCTTGAATGTTACCAGCATTGGTTTTGCAAGATCTTCTTATTGCGGATATTATCAAGCAATACAGAAGTGTTGACTAATGATACCATGTGGCATCATTATGCTTACTCAAAGAGCTGGAATGTAAGGTTTAAATAATCATCTGGTTTACCTTGATTTTTCATTAAGGTTTCTGATTGGTATAGACCTTCGATGAATCTTACCTGAGGAGAAGAAAAACACATAATATAGAAACAAGTCTAGTAGCTGAAATTGAAATCAAGTAAACAATGTGATCATTAACATAAGTTCTAGCTCAAGAAAGTTCAAGAAATAAATAATCAAGCAATTAGCTAAAATTTTGAATACACTTTGGTGTATAGAATAGGTTGGTTCTAAGTTGCAACTCAAAGTCTCACACTTTTGGTATCATTAGGCAATGGCCAGTCAACCCTTTCTAATGCTTTGATGATGAAAAGCAGCAAAAGTGAT